TATATATATATATAAATACTATATAATACATATATAATATATTATCATATAATATAATATATTAGAATGTCATATAATATAATATAATTTAATATAATTTAATATAATTTAATATAATATAATATAATATAATATAATATAATATAATATAACATATAGCACAAAAATACATGTATACAAACAGAGAAACACATGAGTGTACATACGTACATACATACATCCATACATGCATTCTTGCATGCATGCATACATATAAACATACGAACATATATCATGTGGATATATTTATATATGTTTTTGTTCAATACCTACTACGAACATGTTCACGTATGTGCGTGCATACATACATAAAACATACATGCACACGCGATTCTTGGAAATCATACAGGTTCGGTTGAAGTGTAACTTTGTGTTTTGTGTCGTTGGCGCACATCTTCAACTTACCTGCGCACATTCTTCAATGACAGTACTTGAATGTACTTGATTGTATTTGTCTGCAAGTGCCAGCTGCTCCGACCCTTGCACTTGCACTGCCCTTGCATTACGAAGATTTCCAAAGCCCCATGGCGACAATCAGGCACGCGTTTTCGTGCTTCGCTGCTCATGGCGCCGTGGGACCACCGGTAAAGAGTGCACCAAGACCTGAGCGACAGTTAATTTCTTTGTCGTTTGTTCCTTCGTGCGATTGAAACTTCTTTCTTCCTCTCCCTTCATCGCCACAGCCAAAGGGCTGTGGGGCTGCCCCCCACACCTTTGCGCGAGCTAGTCTCCAGGAATATCTGTATCGAGGCTTGGACGGAGACGACAACAAATTTAACACCTCTAGCCTGTCTCGTACACCAAAGGCCAGTTAACCTCGTCCCTCCCTCTTCCTGTCGTTAGCGCCTACAAAGGTTCCGTCAGGAAACGAGGTCGCTGAAAATGCGAATGTCGTCGTCGTCGCAGCAGGAGTAGCGGTGGAAGTGGTAGTCGTAGTGGCAGCACTGCCAGTGGTAGTGGTGGCCGTGGTAGTGGCAAAGGCAGTAGCAGCAGGTAGCAATGGCAGTGGCGGTGGCAGTAGCAGCAGTAGTAATAGTGGTAGCAGAAGCAGTACTTGTAGTACTAGTAATACTAGTAGTACTAGTAGTACTAGTAGTACTAATAGTACTAGTAGTACAAGTAGTACTAGTAGTACTAGTAGCACTAATAG